CACTTTGTTTGTAACTCTGTATTGTTTGTACTGTTCTTTTGCTATTTTGTAAAAGGTTGCCTGTCTGTTAATGTTTTCCTCCTTTTATGTTTAAAGTAAAAAACCCTATAGAAAATTAGAATAAAAGGGTTGGGCATATAGCTCAGTGGTGCAAGTGTTTGCCTGGCAAGCACAAGGTCCTGAGTTCGATTCCTGGTCCCAGAAAAAAGAAAGAACATTGGAATTGGAAGTCTTTATCTCAATGTGATGAAAGCCATCTATGACAAACCAGCACTCAACCTCATACTAAATAGACAAAAGCTGAAGGCATTCACTTATTAACCCTAAAATCAGTAAGAAGATGAGGATGTCCACTCTCACCAGTCCTGGAAATATTAAACAGTTCTGGAAATATCATTCAAAAGCCATTAGAGAAGAGAAGTAAATAAAAGGAATATGGATAGACAAGGAAGAAATTGAATTATCATTTTTTGCTGATGACATGATCTTCTGCATAGAAGGCTCCAAAAACTCCACCAAAAGGTTTCTGAAATTAGCTACCCAATTAGCTAAAATAGAAGAATACAAAGTCATTACTCAAAGGCCAATAACGTTTCTGTATACAAATAACAAACTCACAAAGAGAGAAATTAGAGAAACAATACCTTTAACAGTAGTATCAAGAAAAGATGAAATAGGTAGGAATGAATCTAGTGAAGGAAGTGAAGGAACTTTACATTGAAAACTGCAGTACTCTGCAAAAGGAGATCAAAAAGGCTTTCAGAACATGGAAAGGTATCCCCTGTTTTTCAACAGGCACAATAAATACAGTGAAAATGACCATATTTTCAGCCTGTTATACTGATTTCATGCAATCTATATTACATACCTCACAGAACTCATGAAAATAACCCTAAAATTTGTATGGAACCCAAAGATATCTAGAATAGCAAAATCAATTCTGGGCAGCAAGTGCAAGGCAGAGGGCATCACAATCCGTGATTTAACGTTGTACTAAAAACTACAGTGATTAAAAACAGCATAGTATTGGCGGAAAAACACACCAAAGATTAATGGAACAGAATAGATGATGTGGAAGCAACTCCCAAGTGGACTTCAGCATTGTTTAATATGGCTAAGTTTGGGAAGAAACATAAATGTCCATGGACAGAAAAAGTGATATTATAGTATGTGGCATCTGCAACAATGTGATAGCTGTTTTCAACAAGAAGGTAATCCTGCAATATGCAACCATGGCATAGGAAGTCTTTATCTCAATATGATAAAAGCCATCTCTGACAAACCAGCACCAAATCTCATGCTAAATAGACAAGAACTCTCTTTGACAGTGATCTCTCAATGTCACCTCCTGCAGACCAGAGCAGATAGAGACAACACATTTACATCCAGAGGAAGTCAGAAGACTGGAAGTGATCTGGAGTTGGAATCACATCTCTATGTAGAAAAAAAGTGTATGCATCTCATATGAGTGTAAATTTAATGCTATCCTGCTGATAGCCAGAATTAAATTTCTCCCTTTTCTAATGGTCTGTTAGACTTCAGCGATCTTGTGAACTTTGTTATATGGGTATTTTTCCAAGTGCAGGACTTAGCAACTTTCTCACAGATTGCCATATTAATGATTTCAGTCTTTTCTATGAATCAGAAGCATAATCACTATTGGTCAGAGGGCTACTCTATTTCTAAACCTTCAATTAGTGCATATTGAAATGCTTTTAAATATTAACAGCATTGTAGGACTCCATAGCAACATGTTTTTAAAAGAAACTTTTGTTTCATAATTATGCTCCTATGTAGTAGACATGAGTGCCAATTTTAAATCTTGCCAAACTGTTTTTCACTGTATTTAGAACATAGGCATTGCATTTCTTAAGTGACAATTATTGGTTATATTTTTAAACAATGAGTTTCAGCTGGCACAGTGGCACAACCTGTAATCTCACCTAATTGGAAGGCTAAGGCAGAAAGATCCCAGGTTCAGAGCCAGCCAGCACAATGTAGTGAGAACACTGTCTCAAAATGTTAAAGTGTTAGACTGCTTATCTAGCATGCTCTAGGCCCTGGGTACAATTCCCAGTACTACAGATAAGCAAAGAGCCAAATAGATAGATAGATAGATAGATAAATAAATAAATAAATAAATAA